CACTTGGCACATTTCCAACACAAATATTTCGAACTCCACCATTTCCTATGCCGATCTTCAATCCACTTTTCTATCAGAGAAATATGATGCGTTTTGCTGGAGGTAAAGATCCCTCCTATTCTGATAGAAATGAATCGATAGGGTGTGGCAGAATACAGTCTGCAACCGTTGGGAACAATCCCAAATGTCAATTGAATTGTTGGAATGATTACTTTCGAAGACAATTTCTTTTGGGGATGAGTAATTATCAAATCTAAAATAAACATTGTTAATCTCATTCCGGATGAGAGGAGGAGAAGGCAGGTCGATGAGAGAAATTGGTTTAGCCCCCGCTGATGAGTCATAGAGAACGATTGTGAGGATCACTAGAGTGGGAAGATGATTGTATCAAAAGGTAGCCGTCCTTAGATGCTTGACGTACATAACATCAATAAAAACCGAGTTCCCATGGGAACAGACCATATATGTCGTTCAAGATTACGTGAAAAAGGTCCAGTTCATTCTGGTTTACTCGGCTTGGATCAGGCCATAGCGCCCAAGCAACTCGCCTGCAACCTAGTCGAGGTCTCAGGAAGGACTCGAACCAGTGCTTGTGCTTTCCGGACGCCAGGCTCTTTGACCTTTACACTACCAAGACACGATATTGCTGTTGACTGCTGTCATTTCACTGTCACGTATGATGCAAAAGTCCCACAAGCTTGGCGAGTTAAGGGCAAAAACTAGGCCTGAAACGGGACCCGAACTACGCTCGAGTTGTCAGCGCACCGCGCTGTTACCCCTTACACCACCACGACATGTTTTTTGTCGGTTTCCTGCTGATATTTTAATGCAGTTTACGATACGAAAGTTTCAAAACAAATTAGGAATCGTGCCACGACTTCAGCCCTAAGACGGGACTCGAACCCGGTCTTGCGGTTTCCTGATGCCGTGCTCTTTAGCCCTTACACTACCAAGACGTGATAACGTACCCAATGTTATTATTTCATCGCAGCAAACGATGTGAAGTCCCAAAAAGAGTGACAAGATGGCAAAACTTCTGCACTGGACGGGACTTGAACCGCGCTTCTCTCCGAGCGCAGCGCTCTTTATCCATTTCACTAGCATGCCATGATAGAGTTGTTGACTGCAGCTATTTTATTGCCGTAATTGATGCCAAAGTCTCACAAGAACGGCGAGTTGCAAACAAAAATCCGTCCTTAGTCGGGACTCGAACCTGTACTTGTGCTACCTTGGGCCCGTGCTCTTATCCCTTACACTACCGAGACCCTGCTTGCTGTCACCTTCCTAAGGACTTTTGTATCACATGACCAGGCTTTTTTCAGTATTATACCTTTAATTTATCCTTTCAAGGACACTTGCACTTACTTATATTAATAATTAGATTTATTCTGATGCTTTTAGAGTGATTTTTCGTTTTTCAGTTCCCGTTCAGTTCCCTTTTTCGGGATTCTTGCCACCGGATGCGTTCAACACCACGACCGCTCCGGCAACACCGACCGCAGCCGTTCAATCGCTCGAACCGTCGTTGTTCCCGCAGACCGTTCCACTTGACTTTTGTCAACGTAAACCGCCACGAGATGATTGAAGTTGTCGGCGACTGGCAGCCAGCCGGTCGGTCGGCCGTCGGTTCGGCTCCACAATAGCCTCTCAGTGGTGTCCCAATTGGGCCTCGTTCCGATTTTACAATTCTGTACATAAATGCGTCGTTGGGAAGCAACCATGTGGTGTGTGTGTGCATGAGTGCGTATGTTTGCTTTGTTGATCGACGACGTCGGTTTTTGCTGAAAATCCTCAATCGTTTCATGTTTACCCTGCACGGGCATTCCGCGTGTTTCCAAAGAATCATGTAGGCATACCAACCTCAGTTTGCTACAATTCCACCAACNTTTCCTATGCCGATCTTCAATCCACTTTTCTATCAGAGGAATATGATGCGTTTTGCTGGAGGTAAAGACCCCCTTCAGTTCTGAGCGTAATGAATCGATAGGGTGTGGCAGAATACAGTCTGCAACNTTTTTTTCACGACTACAGACACTATCACAGATATGACGGCAAATGCCATCGATGGAGGTCAAAAATACAATTGACGATCAACGCAGAGCCGCATGTAACTTCTAGAACTGAAAAAAAGAGCAAATTTTTACCGGAAAGGACTCAAGCCAAAAAAAAGGCAAACAGATCAATGGGAATTCTAATGGACTCAGCCAGAGAAAAGAACAGTCTGAGGGCGAAGTAATGATAATTTTGGGTGGTAATAAATGCTGTCTAAGTCCAGGCCTTTATATTTAAATGAATGTTTTCAAGATGGTTTCAGAAAAGCTCAAAAAATGGCTGAATAAATGTGGATTGTTCATGATCGTTGTGGTCATTCTAACTGTCCCATGGAAAGGTTGCGTATAAACCCGTTCAGGTGATAAGTTACAATTATTTATATCAGTATGGGTGGTAGGAGAGAGCATGAAATAGGCGGTCATTAAACACGAATTTGGATAGAGGAATGGAATTTTGAAGGACCCGCGTAGCTCAAGTTCGAGATCACGATTGATCAGAATAATGTAGTCCCTGTAGAGTGTCTAGGCCCCTCAATCAAGAAACTAAACAACAAAAACTGCATAGGAAAAAAACATCAACAAAAAATAAAACAATAAACAACACATTTGCCTTTGTTCCTGTTCTTCGGCGATTACCATCTTGGATGAAGAACTCTAGGAATTTTTTGATTACGCCATTTCATAGTGTCATTTCTATTGGTTACCAACAAATATTATCGAAAGTCTTGAAGTAGTATCCTCTGGTGCTTTCTGGCCATAAGTTCAAATGCTCGATTCTCTTCGAAAAATGCGCTTACGACAACAAAACACCAACATGGGAAATTTAATAAACGATAAATCCGAAAAAAATCAAAAAAATTACTAAACCTTTCTAGGCGTTCTGTGACCTGTGCGTGAAGATGGTAAAAGACTTGTAATAAAGTTGAAGTTAAAAGTTGAACCCTGAAATGGATAGTCAGCCGTGAAGAGGATAACTGAAAGGGTCATTTTATCTGGAAATAATACCTAGCCTGAATACCCATAAAAATGTTCGAAAACTCCGGCAAAAAATCGCTTTCCCGAATTACAACGATATTAATCCCCTCTTTACGTATTCCATTTTCGTCACCATTCTACAGTGAAACGAATCGGCGCAACTCAAAGAGCCTTCTTTAGATAAAAAGTACAAAGCAGTCAGTGAAGTCATAAAGAAAAGTGCCAGCCTATGAACATACTATTATTTCGAATCGATTTCTATTCCGATATTTTATCAGAAGGTTTTCGTACCATAAAACTGTCAAATTATGGTCTTACACAAGTGGTCAATCGACGTCAAAACGCTACTATTTCGGTTCGCAACATTTCTGAGGCCATAGCAAAAAAAAGTGATTTCGAGCGGGATTTGAACCATTGATCATGCCTTCTAAACATCGCCTTCATTAATTGCGCTACATGCGTTTATGGTGTTTACTAGTCTTCCTGAAATCGTCATGACGACACAGTGTCTTCGGATCTTTGAACTTTGTCCCTTCGAAATAAACGACCACATAACGGAAAGTGATAAAAAATGCGCAACCAATGCTTACTCTAAATTTTGGGGTCCCAGAATGGTATCCCTCGATTATTCATGCTCGAAAAAATATGAAAAAGGGGGAGCCTGAGTTTAGCCTCTTCACACTGAAAAACAAAATAACAATAAAAAATAGTAGTAATAGTAACTAATACGAAATTACGACAAAAATAAGGACATAAACAATAAACAATGATAGTATATAATAAACAGTGATAATAAATAATGATAAGTAATAATCAATGATAATGAATAATAAATAATTCTAGTAAATAGTAATAAGTGATGAAACAGTGGTAGTAACTAATGATTATCAATTGCAATCAATGATAATAATAAGCAATTATAATAATTTTGTCTCCTCTAATTTTATTTTGCGGTCCCAATCGCAAACTTTTCTTCCCATACTTGATCTTGCATAGAAGCCGAAGGCTGTGGTCCCTCGACCCTGCACTTTTTCACCTTTTCTGATCAAACAGTGCAGCCTTCACCATGCGACGTCTGACGACATATAGATACCACCAAATGATCGGTATCGTCGCCGTCGAGATGAAAGGCCTATTCGATGTCATAAAAGAAATCGAACCAGGAAACGACCAGGTACACAAAGTCGCATCGTTAACTACCGCGCCAGACATTCCCTAGACAAACTAGCCAGCATGCGACATTTACGTTTTTATAGTCATATGTACATGAATTTTACAACAAAATAGTAAACATCCCTACAGGTTTATATAAACACCCTTTTCCCTGCCGTCTCTATTTAGTTCTGCTACCATTCCATTGTCTCATAGTGAAGCCGAACAAAAATCATTCATTACCAATTAGTACCACTTGTTACTGCTTATTATCATTTGGTATTTATTGGCTGCTGAAAAGAGGACGAAACAGGTTTTCTAAGAAAAGAGAATCTTTTCCATGGTCTTCTTCATTAAATTTTCATTAAGACAAATGGGTAGAGTAAAACTCGTAAACGAATATTTTAAGCGAAATTGCAATATCATCTTAATCGATCACTTCATTTTGTGAATTACCACTTGGCTAACGGCCAGTAGCGCTATCATTATTCTTAATTTCGGCTTCCAAATATGGAAAAGATGAGAGAGACCATGTCTTTAAGTTTGGTAACAACATCGCTGCTGTGGGAGCCCATTCAGCGCCTATATCCACCGCGCTATTCCCCTTCCAACCATATTGAAGCCATAGAGACTCCAAGAGACTCCACCGAGGCGAGGATATTTTCCCATGTGGGAGTGCTGCGTGAATCTTTGACATCCAGGCCTGAATTAAAAGCTGTCATACCCTGAAAAACGGCCATTCCCAGTAGCTCGAGTCTGTAATTTCTTCGTTTCTTCGCTGGTTCCAGTTCCACCTCCTGTTTTGTAGCGCGGTCACCGATTAAGCGATTAATTCCTGTCATAAAATTTCCGGAAGCTTTTGTACAAATCAATATATTTTTCTAAGATCTATTTAAGGTACCAATTACTTAGTTGGTTGAGTTATGACATTTTCTAAAATGATATTCCTCTGTACAAAATTACCCGAATTTTTTTCATCTCTCAGAACTTGTTTTCCAGTGGCCTCATTCTTGCCACTGTGGAAACGAACCGTCGATAATTATTTCCAAAATGATCGCAGCTAAAGTTAATTAGTTAGGAAAAATTATCAAAGAGGATGGTAGGCGGTGATTATTTTTGTGGGACAGGCCATGCACTTTGCTTCCCATAAGAATAGCAAGTGGTTTTCGATGGGTGCCTTCCCCACAGAGCAAACCGACCTTCAATGTAGTTTGAACTAATTTGATATAATTTCAAGCTACTGCTCTTATTGCCTAGGACCTTTGACGAGATGAGTTTCGATCAAATCATCCAGTGAGGATCGATTCCTCGGATACCACATAGTGCCTCTACTACTTTCAGCCAAAATAGTAAGTTTCTGTAAAAAGGCGATGATAGCCCCAATCACGGAATACGCCACCTATCAGGATTAGTTAGGATTTCAATGTGACGTGAGGTAATGGTCGGTAACGTACGTCCTGTCCTGCATGATGGTAAGCCATGACGGCATCTGTCACTGCTGGTGAGTGTTCCGAGGCGTTTTTTGGGCTGCTAGGGTGAGATCGTTGGTCCAGAAAGTGGTCCTCTGCTGCCAGTATACGGTAATATAAAAACTTCCCTTACTTTCTTCCAAGTATTCGGAGGTGGCACTTTTTTGAGTTGATTCCCACAGGTGATTCATCCATGCGATTTTCCCAATTTACCAGGTCCACACCCATTTTCCCGTTGTAAAGTTACGAAAAACTGGGTAATCAGTAAATCGCCACTTTTTTCTGGTCACCTTCAAATGGCGGTATAACAAATAATCATCCCTGGGAAGGTAATCAGTAAAATGTAACCTGTTTCAGGAACTTATTCATACTAACTATTAATTGATGATCTCCCTAGAAAGTGATGGCGAAGGGTGAACTGCTATTAGTCAGCATTTGAAATAAATGGTTTTGAAACTCTACAATTGACGAGTAAAAAGATAAATCAGTAAATGAGAAAATAGGTAATGAATAAAGAAGAAAATAAGTGAATAAATACATCATTTCAAGCCGAGCTCGACCAAAGTGTGTCAAACACTCTTCGTAGCTACTGGAGTAAGGCTAGAACAACTAATATGTAAAGATATAACGAACTTTGCGATGTAATGGGCATATATATCAGATGGGTCAAAAGGTCGGTTTCTGGCTACAGATACCGGTAGTAATGAAGGATACCTGGTGATTCCTTGCGAGGAAGCTTCCCTTATCCCTGAATGTAGCACTATTTGAACTGAAAAAAATAATTACAACTCAGAGAGTGCTACATTCAGGGACAAGGGAAGCTTTAGGTCATACTGCAAATTCATCCCCATTCCTTATGGAACGTTTACACTCCAGCCGAAGCGGACCTAAAGTCACTCATTCGAATACAGACTCTTTAAAGCTCGGAGAATCTAGAC